AGCAGAACTTCACCACCACCGATGTTGAGGCACACGTGTCGTGCTCAACCACGTCAAGAAGCACCGTCTCCAATGTCATTCTCTTTGTCCATCGCATGTGGATGCCTCGTCAGTCAAAACCGCTATCCAAACTGCCTTAGGACTACATTTGCACTAGTCTTGAAAGATGAGGTATGTGTTGTATCAGTTTTGCGCTTGAGGAACATGACCAAAACTATACTGATTATCTAGATTTTGTATTGAAGTCATGACACTTTATTTACGGAATCACTCTACTACGAAGTGCAGTGGCAGACACACCCATTGGACAGGGCGGGTCGGCCGACCCAGCTACAGTCCGTGTCGCCCCCACACCCCCAAACATCATTTCAGTCATATTTCTAACACATTAGTTATCAGTCTACTATTGAATAATCAGATAAATCAAGTATTTTAAGTAGGAACAAAAACATTTATGAAAATTTATGTATAAGTAGTATCATTTTGACTGTTTCTGATTTTGGCCATACATAAAATTTGATTTTCTTTCTATTTCTTTAGTGTATAATACAGTCTACAGTTGTGGGGATACCCGGTTTGAGTATAGTATCCCGAAACCACCCGCGACCGTCTAGGATTTCGATCGCGCATAGATTGATATACAGAACAGCTTTCGATACATATACCCAAGTTTTTACAGAAATTATTACATAAAAGATAACTAAGACAGGTTTTAGGGGCCGACCGGCCAAACACACTCCCTACAAACAAAAGACCCAAACACAAAATAGGATAAAAACACCACAGGCAACGCTTGAGAGCAGATCGACCTAGAACAAGAACTCGTCTGCACCATAGAATTCTTCCCCTTCCTGCGCCTCCTCAGGGAAGAACTGATCGTCTGAACCACATTTTATGTAAGAGGTGAGTACCGAGGTACCTAACAAGCCACATTCATAATAATACAAATAGAATATATGCAAGGCGTACAAAGAATATAGTTCATCAAGGAGGTTGCATAACAAGCCTATTATAAATAGTGTTTCCCTACTTTATCAAACATTTTATTCGCAAACAATTGTAAATCATCATTTTAAAACGGTAGCAATATTAATCACCATTTATTCTCATCTTCATCATATTCCATATTTTAATTTAAAATCTACTCATACCATGATAAATAGGAATCACCCAATGACATAGCTTCTTAACCGGAAGCACGGCACATTCGAATGATTTAAGACTCATCTCTGCAGAGACTGCCCAGCTTTACCCACATGATGTCAATAGTTTGCAAGGCTGAGGACAACATAGCCGTTCGAGAGTCCCACTTACTACTAGTTACTGCCCAGTGGGATATTGATCCGTCCTAGCAGTCAGGCACTTGCTGGGCCTAAGCAAGGCTAGACGGTCGCTGCTTTCACGGGTTCCACCGTTGTGGATCATGTCAACCTGGCCGAAGCCCCTTCCACATGTCCACCCCAGACCTGCTCATAGAGCCACCCTACAGTCTTTCATACAGTGGGACAATGTACTAGGCTAAGTCTAATTACTCAGTCCTGTGGATGGGCGCAAATTACATCATTTTCCATGGCATAAGGGGGTAGTCCTTATATCCGGGGAAAGCCACTGAAACTAGCACAGGCCCGTGCATACTTTAAGTGTAAATATACACTTTCCACAAAATAATTATAACAACATGCACGGCCTCACACACCACAACATCCATCTTCACCCGGAATTAAACTTCCATATCACTCCAGGCGAGTGACTCATATCAAATAACACATTTTATATCACCCGATACGCCACCACGTGACGACGGGTAAACCATGTATATGAGTATAGATATTTGGTGGTCTTATCCACTAGAATATTATTGTGAAGTATATAAATCTACACCTAGGTTATCAAAGGACGTGATATAGCAATCCATGGATTTGGCCAATAATAACAATATAACAATGGGTAATAATTAAACTAACAAGTTTATTAAAAAATAATTCATACGCAAAATAATTTTATAAATACTCAATGCATAAAATAACTAAGTGGTTCTCTACTAGGTTTCAATATGATCAAAGATTGGTACTGTGGCTTGCCTCGTGGAACGTGGCCTTCGGAAGCTTCAACGTAGCCTTCTTGGTCCACTTTAGTTCCTACGAGTCCAGTGGGATCTTCAACGCGATCTAACGTACGCACAAGAAGAAACGACCAAATAAGCCTATAAGAAAAATACTATAAATAAAAATTAAAATAAATGGTGAAGGTTGGAGCCAGAACTGTGGAAAGATGCACTAGAAGTTCTATGGTTTCAAATAACAAAATATCACTGTAAAGCAGGGGTTTATGGTGTATACAAGAATGGACATGATGCAGAGGTTTGGGTACTGGAAACCGGAAGAAATTGTGTCTAGAGGTGGCCGAACCAAAGGTGAACCGAAGGCAAAATTATTGAACCATTAAACAGAGCCTTAGCCAGATTTGTTTAGCTCTGTTTCCTGTCTTATGGTTGGATTCAACCATGATGGCACAGTACCACGTACTACTGTTCATCTTCTTCAGTGAGACGAACCTAGGGGCAAGGGAATAGAGAACAGGGAAAAAGTAGGAAGGTGGATGCTAGGCTGTGGTGGGTGATAGGTAAGGACATCATGAGCAAAACACGTTCTCAAGGGTCGCGAACTCGATGCTGTTGTTAGTTTTCAGAGACGACACCCACACCGGCCGGAACAGGAGTTCCAGATCTGGAGCTATGGTGACACCGGGCATGGAAGTGGCAGCTCTGGTGGTGAACGCGGGCGGGTGAGCGCGTCAAAACGCGTTCCCGGATGAGAAGGTTCCATTTTTGTGGTTAGTTGATAAAGAGGACATTCTGGACGTGTTGGCCACGGTGATGGCTATGACAGCCCATGGGAGCTTCGGAAAAGCTCGATACAAAAGCGGAAAAAGAGGGAAAATAGAGAAAGAAGCCTCACCGATGAGCGGAAAAGTTGATGGTGTGCTGTTGTGGCAGAAAAAGGGCCGGCGACGGTGGATTTGGCCAGTGACCTTGGCAGCAGTTTGGAGAGGTTTGAGGGCAGGGATGAGCTTGAGTGCTCGGTGTTTCCAGAGAAAGAAGAAGAAGGAGAAAAAGGAAGGGAGAATAGCCTCTCGCTAAGATTCGCGCAACGGCTATCGGAGATCGGCGCGTGGCTGGTATAAGGCGGCACGGGCGAGCGTGTGCGAGCACGGGAAAGGCACGAGGCGGCACGCGTGTAGCGCGAGCGGCCCTGAGCGGCGTCGGCCTGCAGCGGCTCGGCTGGAGCCGGCCTACCTAGGCTGGGCCAGGACATGGGCTAGAACAGCCCAACACAGAGAGTGACCAGGGAAAAGGAAATCCGGAATATGGGCTGGATTGCAAGGAACTCGGCCCGAGAAGAAACACAGTGTTCTATTTGAATTTTTGGAGAGATTTTTGTATGGAATTTTGATAGGATATTTTTGAATAGGAATTGATGGGATTTGGGATCTTAGAACATTTGCATGATGACTCCGGTTTAACTTAAAATAAACATGAGCTCTTCTGATGATTTTGGGAATTTTCTTTGGGATATCTCGGATTTTGTTTGGTGAGGGAAACTAAACAAGGTTATGTGGGAGTCGGAAACTTAGAGGGAACAAAAGAAGAATTGGGAGGCTCCAATTCGAAAGAACGAAGAACATCGACTTTAAATATTTTCGCAAAAAATTTATCTTGAAAAATCTAGTATGTTACAACATAATTTAAGTAATCTCTTAAATTACTTATTTATCTACATTCTTTATGTTCGTTGTAATTAAATCTTTATAAAAATATCTCATATGATTATATTTTGATGAAAGATTACAAATTACTTTTATAATAATATATATAATTATAATTACTTTTAGATTTTATTAAATTACTTCTTAGACATGTAAAAGTAAATTCAATAAAACCAAAAAGTAATTTATATATATTATAAAAGTAACTTAAAAAAAGAAAAAAAAATTTGGCTGACATCGGTTCGCTTTTGCGGTTGCTGTTTTGCAGCAGAAGCCCATCGGTTCGCTGTTACGGCCTAAATGCGAATAGCTATTGGTAGTGGGCCCTATACATGTCGGGATCTATCTACGGCCACGCATCTGGAGTCAGTGCTGACGAGCACACAACGCACACAGAGGCAGGCAAAGCAGAGGCAATGCATCAGTTCAAAAGTTCACAGAAGATCCAGTAATCAGCCATAAGCAAAACAATGGAATTGCTGATGCTTATAAGCATCAGGCTAGTACTGCTGAAAAGCAGCAGCAACTGCAAATTGATGGCGCCCTTGTAAGTTGTTACGGCAATAAAAGTAAATCTATTGTTGGGATAAAAACATTAGCCAGTCAAAAAAATAAATTTAATCAGCAACTTACCAATAAAATAAACTATTTATAACTTTATGAATATTTTACCAGTAATTTAATCAAGTATAAAAGTAATTTACCTATGTAATACATAAAAGTAATTTACACGTATAATAAAAGTAATTCACAACATATATATTTTCCTTTACTCTAATTGTGTAATATCTTGTTGCGATATGTAATTATCACGAACATAATAGTGTAATTGGACTGTAGATTAAATAAGTAATTTAAAAGAATATTTTGTTTGAATATTAGGTGTAAGCAGTGGCGGATCCATAGTGTAAGCATTGGTGTCAGCTGACACCGGTGACTTCTTGCTAATCTCTTTGCTCATACACTCTAGAAACAAGAATTACTCTTAACACCACTATATTTGTGTAATGATTCCAATAACTCTATATTCTGATCCGCCACTGTGTAAGGAATCTTTTCCTTATTACATAAACTAATAATATGCCCGTACTAACGTTACGGCGTAACTTAATTTATAATTCACTTAAGAAAGAAATGATAAAGATAGTTATATATATGGAGTGATATTTGCATTCCCTTTCTAGATCTTGAGCAAAGCTATACACATCCATTAAGGAACATTGTGAGATGAGATCTAACATAATGGTAGTGCTTTTCATTCTGTAACATTATCTCAGATTCAGTCAACTCTGTTACACGGTGTAAAACATCATCCACAGAGTATGAAATAATCACTAAAAGATGGGGAGCAACTCAAAAACTCAAACACAATTAGTGGGCTTGGCTGATGGCAGTTTGTGTCACATCCTCTGGAATTGTCCAACTCATCATTTTTCTGTCGGCAAACAATGCACTCATATAGTATGAAATTCATACTATCCCTCGTAACATTTATAATAACAATTAGATGCATAATAAAATGCAATATTTTCATTAAAACAATATATGATGGTAAATAAGGACGACACTTTGTAATCCACTTCTTTTATTGCGTCCTCTGTGTTCCACTGTACTTCTTGCTAGATTGACAATTTATATAAGGACAACCTTTCCTCTGATATTCCTATCGAGAAGTAGCTCCAACCTAAGCAGCTTTGGACTGATTCAGGTATCCATGTCATCTACACCGAACATCAGCATCTCGCCTTTTACATTTGTTCAATTTCCCGCACCTTCAATGTTAAGATGGTCTCAAGCCGGCCAAACACGGACACCTATTGAAAGGATCCTTAGGCTCCCAGTTCTTCCAAACTATTTTTGTCTACTATAACCACTTTTTGATGATTAACGCAAACTGAATAATGTGCTGCAACAAGAAGGAAGTGGCATTGCAAGGTCATGTACTCTAAGACATTGAATAATTCAAGGAAATAAAAATTTTGCAAAGATGAGTATTATTTGGGGACCGACAAATATCAACAGTAGGATATGCCTTCAATGTGATAAGAGGAAATCACATGGATTACAAGCATATTTAGAGCCTCCAATGACCTGAAAACTACACCTTACATCCAACCAAAGAAAATTTAATAGAACCAGCCAAAATTCCTTGCTTACATAGAAAAAAGGAGCAGGTGCCATGGTGTACCACTGCAAATTAATAAGTCATTTGGAGAAAAAAAAAGCAACTCAACACATTACCTGTTCACATCGGGATGCAACCCAAAGTTATTGTGTTCCTTTAGCCATTACAAGTTCAAATTTTCTTCCCAACTGTGACTTACAAAACATCAACAGCCTGCAACGAGTCATATAATTAATTTGAATCAGTTCTTTTCTTCCTTTCTATTTTAAAGTTATTTGTTCAAGGGAATTAGTCACATGACCTCGAAAAATGCTATTTTCACGCTCCATTTGTTTTTAATGTATGACATGTTGGTTAGTTCAAATTGAACTAACGTTGATGCCATTACTGTTAATTACAAAGAAGGGTATATAAGATGCCATTACAAAGAATTTATTTTCAAACTCAACAGTGAATCTGCATATTGATTATATTATTATTATTATTACAAAGATTTCTATTATTATTTCTGTGGCTATTATTACTATCAGTTCGGTGACAGGATTGATCACAACAAGTGCCTAATAAGCGAGAATTCCCCAAAGCAGTGCCGGCTGGCGAATGGGAGGATTAGCGGAATCAGTCACACTGATCCACCAGCATCCGGCGACCGGTGAGCTGGTCGTGGAGTTGCATTTGCAGTGCACAAATTAAGCAACGAAATCCAGTGTAACCAATCCTAATTTAGCACAAATTAAAGCTTCAAAGCGTAGATAAATAGAGACAGGTAAAGCATTGTGCATTATACTAATTCTGGTTCAATGTGATGCTGAGTTGAACCTATCAGTCGCACAACGAATATATAATATATGCCATCAGTCCACATTAATATATGCCATCAGTCCAAGATGATGCAATAATCTGAATTTTTGATAAACAAGATGATGCAATAATCTGAATTTTCAAAAAGCATTTAAAAAAAACTGTAGCGCTTGATTATATCATGTTTACAGCATAGCAGCAGCAGAAAAGCATGAGCATATGGATAGGAACATGAGCACGCCATTCTCATCATCAAATAATATATATATATGTACTGAAATAATCTGGAAACACTGAAAACCAATAAATATGTTGCACATCCCCACTGTTAATGAACCATAATTCTGAAAAAAAATGATAGGTTAAGCTAAGCAATGCCTCATGTATGTAGATATCAGAGGCTGAGTGAAATCAACATCTAATACGTGCATAGAGAAGTCACGATCATTGGTTGATCATCCAAGAAGTCACAATCAATAAGAAACAACGATAGCAGACCATATTCTTAGGGCATTATGACTTCGCTTACTCCACATCAAAAATTCCATTTTTTCATAAAATCACTTGCATAGACAGAATGGATAAAACCACCTACAAATTACAATGCAACCCCAGATTTCCAGAGAATTGTAGCAAGCATGTCACCACTATGAAACAACATTTTCTGCATTTGGACCTACTGACCCACATAAAAACTTGACATTGTCAGTCAAATAGTCTGTTATCTACAAAATATCAGATAGATCATATAATTGAGTAATGCATATTTCTGATTCAATTCATGATGCTACCGATCAACCCAATAATATGGTGCTCATTTCAATAATATTTTCATAAGATAAGATGCTTAGTTTAATTTCAATTTTCCTGGGTCTGAAATCATGCACTTAATTGACCATTGTAAAGCAGGTATATAGGGTCATTGATACTGCAAACTAATTTTGATTATAAAACCAAAGAAATTCATCTGTTCGCAGGATGTATATTATACCTTCTTGTAACTGGACTCTGTAAACTGAGGAATGAGACGAGGGTACGTCGTGTCGAGGCTTCACTTGATCCCGCAGAAATTATCTGAAATCCGAGTATTGGAATTGATTCAGGTTAAAATACCGTGATCATCCCAGGCGTCAATTTCAGGTTAAATACCACTAACCACTAAGCAATTCCATCGTATATATTTAGCTCGGTAAAAGGACCAGTAAAAGTAATAGGAGAAATTGTTGTCTGATCCTAATTTTCCAACCCAAATTAAACTGTTTTTAAGTGGAGCATATCATCATTAAATTTATTAGTCTGAACTTCCAAGATATCATCACCATACAGTATATTTCACCAAAATTATCAGCTGAGAGCTATGTCATCATGAGTATGAATTCACCGACAATCCAATGATCCCTACCTGCCTGTTTGGTTGGAGGGAGTTTTTAGGAGGGATTCGGAGTTTAGAGGGATGTAGCTATTAAGTGTTTTTGTTTGGTTGGGAGACATGAGAATTTTGGTGGGATAGGGATGGAGAATTGAGCAAGGAACTCCCTCCTTTTCAATACCTGGGTAGGGGTAGGTAATTAGGAGAGAATTCCTCCTTTACTTTTTCTAAGCAAATCTCAGCCATCCGTTTTTATTAATGACCTAATCTCCAACTAAACTCCCTATCAATTTCCATCACCTCTACCAAACAAGATATTGGGATTAAAAATTAAATTCCCATCTTAATCTCATCATCAATTCCCTCGTGTAAACTCCCAATCCCCTTCCCTCGAGTTACCAAACAAGCCGTGCGATTGCACGGATCAAAAATTCAAAATCGATCCTACAGTGGAAAAAAAACCTAGACAAATCCAACTTTAGCCGCAACAGGACAGACGTGAAAACACCCAACAAATTAAAAAACTCCCATCCAATCCTACAACAGCCCAAAAATCCAGGCAACGAACAAAACCTAAATCGCCCCCTACGCGAAAACAATGACCGATCTGAGCAGTCGGGGAAGAGGAGGAGGAGACGAACCAGTGTGTGAGAGAGATAGGCGCCCCGCTCCTCGGCCAGTCCCCCCACCCCCCCACCCTCCGCGATTCAGGCCATGGAACTCGCTTCAATCCGGTTGTGAGTGCTCGGAATCGGATTCGCCGAGGCGAGGCGAGGCGAGGCGAGGCGAGGATGAGAGGATCAAATGGATTTTGGGGGAAGCCGGAGGTGGAGGAGAGGCGGAGGCGCGGTTGCCATTGCAGAGGAATGAAGCGGAGTAAGGGGAGATGATTGATTGCGCTATCGATCTCCCACCGCGTGACCTCGCATGAGCCCCTGTCGTTGGATGTGAAACGTTGGATGATTTTTATCCGTTGGATTTAATGAATGAAGTATCTATATCTATACTAATATAAAAAGCACCAGTTCATCAAACACCTATATATATATATATTTATTTATTTTTTACCCTTATATCTATTTCCAACGGCTTTTATCAAAATTGGATCAATCCCTGCAATTAGCGATCCACACAGCGGTTATAGGAGGCGATCGATTGCGAGAAAGAAGCGAAAAAGAAAAAAAAAAAACCTTCGCTCCCATCCCATAACTCCCGTACTGCGCTAGCCTACCGCCGCCTCCCGGAGCCGCTCACCGCCTCCTCGCACGCGCCCGCCGGACAGCCAGGCGCCGCCGCCAGCTCCGAGCGCGTGCCCGCCGGAGCCGCGCCCCCTACCCCGCCGCCTCCTCGCGCGCGCCCGACGCTCGCCCTACCCCGCCGGGTTCGCCATCGGCCGGCGCCTTCTCCACCGCCGCTGCCGCCTCCTCGGGCACGTCCTCTGGAGAGCTGGGGTTGCCGTCGGCCGGTTCCTCCTCCTCGCGTGCGCCCGCCGGGGAGCCGTGATGGGTTACGGCCCTACGCAGCACATACTCCAGGTTAAGTTGATGTCCTCTCTTCCTATAAATCCTCAAACAATAAAGATTTTGTGCTTTTATTATTTTGGGTTCAGAAAATTGTTTACCTAGGGTTTGGGCAGATCTGTGCAATTTGTGGCATGGGGATTGATTTGGCTTTTCATGCAAGAAGAGAAAGCTCCCCGCAAAAAAAAAAAATGCAAGAAGAAAAAGCACTAAAAACATTTTATATAGAGATGTTTTAGTTTAATCTATGATGGGAAGCCTTGCAACCATTAATTTCATATTTTGCTGAAACTGAGTGACAATTGATTATTTTGAGAATTTGCCAGTATATCAGTTCCATTTTAGAAAGCATAGAAATAAAAGAGCTGGATTTGGGACTTCATTTGATTTGGGGTTGATATACGGTTATGTTTCTTAGATTTGAGTGGGAATTTTTGTTTTTGTTCAATCAGAGGATGGAGGATAATATGATGTGCCCAATCAAGGACCAAGAAACCATGCTGTGAGTTGGCCAACCTCTGTTCTCCTGCAATTACATTTTCCTTTTTGCAGTAGATCTTGCTTCCAATTGATTTTGTAGGGTAGTAGCAATGGACATGAACAGGCAGCAGGATACGGTTTGCTCCAAGGAAATTTTGCAGCACCGAAACAGTACTATACTGGCTAGCATCTCTTGTTTATTTGCATTCTGATATTCTTTTTATCCTGTGGGACAGATTGATCTAGTCTACGATCGAATGCCACAATATATGTCAGGCATATAACACAGGGGAGTGCAGAAATCCTGTTATTTTCACTCAATCTGGTAATCTGCTTTAATTCTTTTGCTATTCTTTGCCTTGACCATGTACTGGATTGAATTGAAGATGTTTATTTCAGCATAATTTTTGTTCAGGGTTATAGGATTGAAATTCAAGTATACAAGATTACAAGATTGCATATAATTGAAGGATTGGAGTGATCAATGTCTAGAATTCAAGCGTGCAAGACCTGCTGAGCCGTGTCACCATTGCGTTGCATCTGATCTAAGTTGGCGTTCTTGGTTTAAATTGTTGACCGGTGTCAATGCTAATCTTTTACCAACTTTTTACGCAGGGGCACTTCTTGGATGCTTTGATCTTATGTTCGTTTAGTGCCTCTCGATGGCTCTACAAGTTAGCCATGTTATTGTAAAGCACAGTAACTGCTTGAATCAGCCCACACCACAAGACAACGAGATGCTACATATATCAGGTGCAAATGCAGGTATTGACTTAGCTCATGTGTGTCTTTTTATGCAAAATTTGTTTTCCTGCAAGTGATATCAAGATTTGACCACATGGCATTATCAATGTAACAGCAAAGAATGCGGGACAAGCTTGTGGTATATGCATATGTAGCTGTTGAGCTAATCATATTTCACTCAAACCGGTTCAAGTAGTCTTCCAAATTTCTCTCTATGCTGAAACATTCTGCTTTATGGTTGAGCTCACATATTTTGGTGACAGCAGAATTCTGTTATTCTGAAGCATAAATTTTATGTCATGTGTTCAACGAGTCCAATGATAGGACCATAGGAGGCTACATAAACTGAATAAATTGAATGGCATCATAGTTAACTATCTCCGGATGGCGCTCCATCCATGCGTTCATGTCGTTGTGCAAGTACTTATCATTGAGTTTCTTAGCAATCATGTCAACATTTAGCTATGCTGGCAACCATGGTTGTGTACTTGTGTTAGCCTGTAATGTAAAGATTCATTTCCTTTTCATCTGAATCAACATGATCAACTCTTGGGTAGATTCTTTGTCAAATGTACATATGATTGGAGGGACCATGTGTGATTTATCATTCAATCAGACTAGCAAGATGTTGGTCAGTTAGTTCTCATGAATACTGTCATTTAGCTATATTTCTTACCTCAGGACCATATTCCTGTTTATTTGTCACTACAATTCAGACTTGCATGTCATAAAAAAAAACTTTGATATCATATTAGACTAGATAAGTGAGCTGTCAGGAGCAAGATGTTCTCTGGTTATGTATGTGTTTGATGTCAGGGACTCCACGTCCGCCCATCCGAAGAGGAGCCTGGGGAGGAGGCGTAGGCTGGTGGCTGCGGTTGACTGGTATGCATATTTTAGAGCACATGAAGGACACAAACATGACATTGGCGCAGTTTCCATAACCTCAACTTGTGATCAAAGACTGAAAAATGGAATGAATGGACAATGAAGAGTGTGTTCCCTTGGTTTTCATGGATAGAATCACACATAATTTGCTAGGAATTTCATCGAACATTTTTGAACACGGGAAAAACGGCGCTGGGGAAAAACGGCAGTGTTCCAGCGCCGGATGTGGGAGTGCCCAATCTGACTTCTATAAATTTATTCATGTAGAAAGGAGAGCGATAAGTTTCATTTGACGCAACCGGCCTCGACTCCAACACTTCTTCCTCAATCCAAGTCTCAGCCAGATTGATACCCAGATAGACTCCCCTCCCAACAGCTCCAAGTCTCAGCCAGATTGATACCCAGATAGACTCCCCTCCCAATAGCTCCCAACAGCATGACATGTGTTGTGATGGCGCTCTCTCACATAGCGTAATTCTTCTCCAATAACCTCAACAGCTAGGCGTGCCGGCTCAAGATCCATATCGACCCAGTCACTCATCCTGGGGGCTTTTAACTATTTGCCACTTTTAGATTTGGTAAATAACTATTTGTCACTCCTATCTCAATGACACGTGGTTCCACATGTGTCTGACATGTGGGTCCAGTGATAAAAAATTAATTGCTACATTTAAATGTGGCAAATGGTTAAATATCTCTTTGGTAGGCCCACCCATATGGCCAAGAGTAGGCATTAGCTTATTGTTATTACGGCTAAATATACTCCTCTTCAAGGTGCATGCACATATTTTATTTTTCTGTTTGAAATATACAAACTAATATAGTACCAAATGTATTGATCTATGTTGATGTGCATCAGCGATGGATGTATTTTTCTTTAATTTACTCTATCAGTATATATCGACGTGCCTTGCAAGGTAGGCACTATGTCAACAAGTTAAATAGTTTCCTTGGTGTACTACTCTTTGAAAACGTTATTTTGGTTCATCTGTGTGATTATATGAAGCCAGGGCCTGACCGCCTCACAGATTGTTAATCGATCTTGAAACAAAAAATGAAATCTGAAAATTATTTAGCACTTTAACAATTATATTATGTGTTTTATTTATTTTATTAGCAACGTGGATTCCACGTGCACATTTACTAGTGAAGGATGGGTAGATGTGTAGTCCTGCACAGGAAACAGATTCATGTTATTTTAACATTTGTCGACATGTTAGGTAGTTAGCACTAATTAGAACACTTGCACTATATGTAGTTCTGTCCTTAAGAGTTGAATCAAAGCTTGCTTTTTGATTAATGGTTATATAAGATATGTCACCGTGGTCGCATATCGATCTTAGGGTGATTTCGCGTTTCTCTTCGTCGAGCTATGTCTCGGCTTTCGGGCTTGGCCTAGCGTGAGTCGCGTTGGTGTGAAATTGCGGAAAGGAGTACGGCATGCATGCAGTACTTACAAAATAATTTTTACAAGGGCCATAACAGTTTTTTTTTAGGCTACCAAATACTCCGCTAGTATCTAAAGGCCTGCGAAAATTGACTTTCGCAAGCGGTCATAGGTCTACTTGCAAAAATCAATTTTAGTAGGTGGGCCCATTAAGAAGACCGCCGGCGAAAAGTATCTTGTGCCAAAAAAAAGTTTTTTCACAACATGCAAATTCACATTTAAATCCGCATCATTGCAAACACATAGTTCAGAGAGTTCTTTAAAATATACTCCCTTTATCCATAAAAAAAACCAACTTCTCACTACGAATCTGGCTGTAGGCTAGACGACTCCTCTTAGAATGTGTGCCTCGCGGGAGCCAAGGAGGGCAGCACCGGCACAATTTTTTTTTATTTTTGAACTTTTTTATTTTTTAGTTTAAAATATAGACACTTTCAAAACTTATTTCCATAATCTGAATCTTTGGTGACACTAGCATGCCTGGTATAATAAAATAATACCGACACACCACACATAGTGGGTGTGGTAGTTTTATACTATCACTACCACGCGAGTGAGAGTGGTGTGACCAAATAATGCTGTCACACCAGCCAGATCAGTGTGATAATGTTATTTTGCCACGGCTAATGTGGCTAAAAGATTCAGATATTGGAAATAAGTTTTAAAAGGGTTTATTTTAAAATTAAAAATTTAAAAGTTCAAAAAATAAAAATAAATCCACCGGCATAGCGCTGTCTCCATGCACAAGAGAGAAAGAGGGGAAGTTAGTACAACAAGAAGGTTAATTAGGGACTGACATGTGTGGCCAATAAGAATTTCTTAAAGAGAAAATTTGTTTCTTTTGCACCAGGTTTAGCAGATACTTTCATTTTACACCAGGATTCAATAATTTAAATTTCACTTAACACCAAGATACGTCATTAAATATACAAGATTTTCATGACATTTCATCAATTTTGAATAAATCCTCATCAAACATGGTCTAAATTCAAAAAGGTTTTATAATTTGTAAACATATTTTACAAGGTTTTTCTTTAATATATGATACAACCCCCAGTGCAAAGTGAAACAGGTACGCTTTACCCAGTGCAATGTGTTATTTATTCTTTATTAAATTTAGTTGATATTTGGATGGTATAAAACCATTTTAGCATTTTATTTTCAGTTTGGCTTCGTAGAGTGTTGTGAAACCTGTAGCACGACACGAGACATCGAAGGGTTTGTCAGCATATATCTGTTAGAAAACCGCCGGCCCATAAAGGCCCGACCCGGTTACTCACTAATTGGACCCCTCACTAAACATGGAAGGTGGAAGAGGGAATGACTATAAATAGAGAAGTAGAGAGGAGGATTGTACAGGTGAATGAGAAGATGGCCACACCCTCATATCTTTGTGTAATCCCTCTTGGACTACCTTGGTAGCATGAGGGGTTGCATAATACGTTATCAGCACGACAGTCTACCGGAGGTAAGAACTCGTAGATGACCGAGGAAGAAGAAGGGTAATAACTCGTAGATCCGTTTTGCATCTCGCTGATTCAATCGCGAAAACGACTTCCTCTCCCTATTCCCGTTCCATTTTTGCTGTTCCCGACGAAATCCACCGCAGCAGACTTGGAGTCGCCGGCATATGCCGATCGGTGGAAACCGCGGTCGGCAAACACGGCATTAGCGTGCCGGCGACGCGCCATGGCCGCGAACCCGAGCGTCGCGACACCACGGCCGCAAGATCACACCGGCGACGCACACTGGAAGCGCTCCGTGCCGGCGTGCACCGGGCAGCAACCCGCGCCACGGCCGCGACGAGACTGCATCAGGACGAAGTGCTACGCACTAGCACGGCGCCTAAGTCGCAGCCAATGCTCGTGCCGCCGTGCGTTGCACTGAGACGCACTCGCACTGTGCTCCTTGCCATGAAGGCACTGGCCGGATAGGACAGAGAGGAAGAAGAAGAAAAGAAACAAGCAGAAAGCATTAGCGTAGTATTGACACACACACCAGTGTCTACGCCGCCGCACGGCCGCTGGCCTGGCCGCAGCATGTGCAGCCGCGCGCTGCCACCGACCACGTCGGCGCCCGGTCTGTCGCGCCGCACCGCCATCGGCTGCCACGCCGCACCGACCGTACTCATGGCAACCGGTGCCATCAGGGGAGAGAAGAAAGGAAGAAGAACGAAAAAGAAAAAGGGGAAGGCGCAGCCGCCGCACGGCCGTCCCCCCGCCGGCCGTCGGCTTTCGCCGCGCAACGCTGCACACCGTCTTCGCGCGGCAGCACCTCACCACCGCACGGGCGCGCCGCCGCCGCATGGCATCGCCGTAGCCCGCCTGCGCCTGGTACCGCTGCCCGGCTGAGCCACGCCACCGCAAGGCCAACTGGCCAAGCTCCTCCGCCGCAAGGCCAAGCACCGCCGCCGCGCGCCCCGCCGCCGCATGGCCACCTCTCGCCGCCGCGCCGTGCCGCGCGGCTGTGCGCCGCTGCGCCGTCCTTGGTGCCGTCTCGGCCGCGCCTCGCCGCACGGGTGCGCCGCCGCCGCTCACCGCGTCCCACGCCATCCGTCAGTAGGCGTCACCGCGCCGCGCCGCCTTCGCATGGCCGCCGCGCGCCTCGCCGTCCCGCCGCGCCGCCCCGCTGCGCGTCGCGCCCTGGCCGCCGCGCGCCCGCGCCGCTGCCCGGCCACCTCGCCGTCGCATGGCCGGCCGCTGCCACATATGGCAGGAGCCCCATCCGGGGGAAGAAGAGAAGGAGGAAAGGCAAGAAAAAGGAAAGAAAAGAAAGAAAAAAAGAAAGGAAAGAAAAAAGAAAAATGGAAAGATTCCCGTGATTTTGCAAAAAGACCCCTGAAGTTTTGCGAAACTAAGTGCATTTTCCTTTGGATAGGAAATCTTGCCTTTTGAACCCTTAACTTTTCAGGAAACTCATAAATAGCCCTCTGTACTTGGGATATTCGTTCGAACGGCATTCGGAATTTGCAAATATCACCAAAATCATATTCTCGCATAAAAAGGGACCACGGGACATTGGATTTCGACCCCGACTTTCCATTTCAGGTACCTTTATTGCTGATATATATGATTATGAAATTTATTTATCGCATTTACAATTATTAATTATTTGTGATGTTTTATTACTTTTAATTAATATCGTTGTGGTAAAATGTATAGAATTGCATAGAATATATTGGAATTATTTGCAGGAATTTTTGTGTACCATTATATTGCAACAATTGTGCATTTTTACCTGAATCTAATTTTACGCATATATGAAAAAATGACGTGCATCGCGAATTAGAAAATTTGCCGAATCT